AAAAAAAAAAAAAAAAGGAAAAAAAAGAAAAAAAAAAGAATCCTTCTGCCTGTTAGGACTCATCCACGCGAGAATAAACTGATCGAGTGAATTCACGCGCGAGTAAATCATTCATTCGAAGTTTTACGTATCTGCATCGCGTATGATTTTCAGAGAAGAGTATTATAACGCATGTCTCTATAAAAGTTACGTAGTTATAGTATAGTCGTTGTTCACGACTTGATATCTCCAGTAAATATGCGATCAAACGTTAAGGGAGGATAATTGGAAAAAAAAGAACGTATTAAACTAGGATTAAATATTTCAACGAGCCTTAATGACACGTGGAACACTCCTCTCGTAGAATTATTCAAAGGCAAGAAGCGACCGAGGCACAAGCTGCTGCTTCAACTTCTTCATTTCTCATTGAGATTCGCTTTCCTCGAGCCAACCTTTAAAATTTCACGCAATGAAACTTTTCTCCCCCTTTCTTTCCAACCTTCTTAAGGGATGTCAAAGCGGAACATCCTTGGAACATCGTGTTTCTCGCAAACTTTCCTCCTCCTTCGAAATCTTTTCGAAGAATGTCAAAGAGGAACATCCTTGTAACATCATCTTTTGTACAACGAAACGATATTTATCTTTGTTTTCTCTGAAATGTATCAAAGAATCTCGGAATATTCCTAAAAATATCCGCATTATTTTTCCTTTTCTTTTTGAATTATTAAATATTCCGAACAATTATCTATTTAGATTTGAATATCATTTAATTCTGTTAATTAAAATCGTTAACACTTCTTCCAATTATTTCAAATCTAATCCAAACGATTAATAATCTCTAACACACAATCCTCAACTTCATCAACCTCTCGGCTTAATTGAAACAATCATTCAACAAATACTTGGATTTTCAATAATCAAAATCTAAATTAACCTATCTACTCTCAACTTCTTGGAAAGTTTTCAAACCAGTCTTTCGAATATCTTCAAAGAAGAAGCTCCCTGCGACGTCTCTGGAACATCGTCTTTCACCCCATTTACCTGTTCGTGTAAACACTCAAAGACTTCTCCCGGTGATAATTCAATCCGGCCATTTTCCCGCGTTAAATTCATTCCGCGAACTGCGAAACAATCTCTGGATCCTTTGTCCCTTGACGTGTCGGGCGAAACCCTTTGTTCTGCCATCCCAGAGATGGCCCCCTTCAACCCTCTGAACGACACCTTCCCTCGTAAGCGGCACGCGCGGCGCAAAAAGCTCGTTTCGCTTCTAATACCCGGGTCCGGTGAAATTACACTTCAATGGCGAAATTGCGGCCACGGAATGAGCTACCAGGTAAGCTTGTTCCCCATGCATAATTCATAAGCGAGGCGTCACGATGAAACTACTACGTCCTATAAATATTTTTTTCGAAGCTGTGAAAGTGCATGCAAATGAATTGGCCCTAATGTAAGTACTCTGCCTACTACTTACACAATTGCAATTGAAGTATAAACAAAATGATTGCATTTTGTAATTCACGCGATGGTTAAGCATCGAGGATTCTCAGGATTTGCAACCGTTTCTTGCTGAGATAATCGAGCTATAAAATATTTGATATATTTTTTATTATGCAGGGGTGTGAAAATTATGAGTCGGTTTTCTATTTTATTCTGTCTTTTATTCTTATATTTATTAACAATCGAATATTTGAATAATTTATTAATCAAAGCTTGTGCAAAAGCGCAAGGCTGAGGTTATATACAAAGAGGTTAATTATAGCAGCTAACGAATAATTGTTATTCGAGCTTAAGGTAACTTCATTTCGAAATTTTAATTAATTAATTTTTCACTCCATTAATGCTCTCCGCTCTTGTTGGAATGAGCGCAGATACTTTTCCTCGTGCCATCTTTTCGTGCGATTTTTTATTGTCTTATACAAGAGCGCGCGGTGTTAGCGTTGAACTTGCAACAATTAACATTTTTTTTCGCGGTCACTGGAATGAGAAGCGGCAAGGGAATAAATTTCGTGATAATATAGTGGGCGTCAGCGACACGGTGTTGTGTTGCTCGTCGTTTAGAATCCTCCTTCTGTTTCCCCGTTGCCATCTTTTCTCCTCTTCCTCTTCGTTTTTACTTTTCCCCCCGCTTTGCTTCCACTTTTGTTTATCGCTTCGTTTCTCTCCCTCCCCTTCTCCATTTTCCTTTTCTCTTCCTACCCCCTCGTTTTATTCCCCCCATTTTGTTGTTTCCAGTCGCGCGCCTCGATTTGCTTTCTCATTCTTCGTTTCCGTATTCGGGCGACGATGATTTACCGATCGCCACCAAGAGAGAAACGCGGGTGCTGGCATGGCAATTTTCGCGTTCGCTTGTCGCGTGTAACGCTTTTATTCATACCGTTGTCGAGTTTTCCGCGATACATTGTTTTCCCCGCTATTCTATCGTTGTATTCGAATCGAGTTTCCCCTCTGA